CTGCCGAGTGAGTCACGAGGCTGTTCAGGTGATGGGCTGCTGTTCTGGGGAGGCTGGGATAGGTGAGCCGTGCTGGCAGTGGCCGGGTGCCAGGGCAGAGAGAGGTGTCATAGCTGTGCTGAAATAGCTCTGCCAGAGCAGGCGGTCAGCCCGCTGGGTTTCGGCAGCGGTATTGGCAGTGAGGTGGGTATAAGGTACGTACCTGTGTGTGCGGGTGGTAGCTACCGCCTGGTTTCTTCTGTAGAGGAGCAAGGAGACTGCTCCCTACCAGCATCTCTCTGTTTTGAGGGCCAGTAGATTTGGGGTGACTCTCCTAGAGAGCATCGCTGCTTGTTAGTGTTTGTGAAAACTGCTCATTCCGCTGTTGTTAATGAAAAAGCGCGGCTGTTCATCTCAACAGGTGGGAAGTTGTTGTGTTCTCTTGTCTTCACCCATCCTTTTCTCTCGTATCTCCTCAAATCCTACATTGTGGTTATGAATAGGTGTCATTTTGTCTCTTTTAATACACTGCCCTGACTTGCTTGCTGCGAAGGGAGTATGCATCTGGAGATCAAAGTTGCTCTTAACTTCATCATCTCATACCTGTACAACAAGCTTCCTCGGAGGCGGGCAGACCTGTTTGGTGAGGAGCTAGAGCGCCTGCTGAAGAAGAAGTATGAGGGTCACTGGTACCCAGAGAAGCCTCTGAAGGGGTCTGGCTATCGCTGTGTTCATATCGGGGAGACGGTGGATCCGGTGGTGGAGCTGGCGGCCAAGCGGAGCGGGCTGGCCGTGGAGGATGTGCGCGCCAACGTGCCGGAAGAGCTGAGTGTCTGGATCGATCCTTTTGAGGTTTCCTACCAGATTGGCGAGAAGGGCTCTGTTAAGGTCCTCTACCTGGATGACAGTGAGGGCTGCAGCGCCGTGGAGCTGGACAAAGAAATCAAGAGCAGCTTCAACCCCGACGCCCAGGTATTTGTCCCCATCGGCAGCCACGACAACTCGCTGTCCAATTCTCCGTCCCCCTCCTTCGGCCAGTCGCCTAGCCCCACCTTCATCCCTCGCTCTGCCCAGCCCATCACTTTCACCACTGCCACCTTTGCTGCCACAAAGTTTGGCTCTACCAAGATGAGTGTGCCAGCAGCCGAGGATGGTCAGGTCTCCCACCACCAACCTGCTGAAACACAAGGGCCTCTCCCTGTCTATGCACTCTCTGAACTTCGTCGGCAGCGCTGGGAGCCAAGCCCCGCAGTCGCAGCTCTCCCCCAACGCCAAGGAGTTCGTTTACAGCGGC